GGGACCTGTTCTCCTCTCGCTCTGTCTCTCTCTCTCTGTCTTTCTTTCTCTCTCTGCCTGTCTCTGTCTCTCTCTCTCTCCTTGCCTATCTGTCTCTCGCTCTCTGTCTCTCTCTCTCTCTCTGCCCTTTTCCCACTGTCCATGACTCTCTCTCTCTCTCTCTCTCTCTCTATATATATACCCCTCACCCCTCTGTCTCTCCGAGTGACTCAGGGTTGGGGGGGTAGAATGTGGGTTTTCCTCTGAACTGTAGTCTCGGGGTCGGCCTGAGTGTCTCCCAGGTCAATTCATTTGGCGGATAGCAAAACCTCCCCTCTCTTTCTCCCTTACCAATCCCCTCCCAATTCCTCCCACTCCCCAGGGGCAATTCCAGGAGATGAAATGAAGAAACAAAATCCCGAATTACTTGCGGGGAGAAAAATCCGAAAGAAAGCTGCTGGAATGTGTGGGAGAAACGCAGCAAAAACTCTAGCAGCGTCTGTGCAGACAGAGAGAGATAGCAGAGTGTGAACATTTCGGCTCTGCAGTGACCCTTCCTCACAAACTTTTGGGGAATTCCTTGCCAATGCCGTGACCCCCCCATCCCCCCCAAAAAAAAGCCCTGACACCCGAAGGCAGTTTAAATTATTGGAGTTGGTTAATCTCATGAGAGAGTGTGTTTTATATATATATATATATAATATGTATGTGTGTGTGTGTAGCTCCTATAACAGGAAGACTGTACAAACTCCCCATTTTTATTCCAAGTTGTCGATTTAAGCTTAACGAGGTGGTGTCAGTTTTGAAGAGGTGGGGGGAATTCATAGACCCGGGGCATCTGGGAAGAGACAGGGAGAAAGGGTTGGAATGGGGTGTTTAAAAAGTAGTAGGACAGCTGTAAACTTACTGCGAGAATATTTTGGGACAGGAAACCAAATGCATGTCCCTAAGTCAAAAAAACTCAAAAACAAAACAAAGCTGGGCCTTTCAGGAGGCAGAGGTATGTCATAGCTAATATATTGGTTCAGGACTGCTGTAAAGTTGATAATGTTATTATTTTTATTCTCTCTCTCTCTCACCCCGAAGGCATTGTTGGGATACAATAGAAATTGTGTATATTTTTCGTAAGCTTTCAGAATGCGTTGGTGGGAGCAGGTGTTTTGGGGTGGGGGTGTTAGTTCCAGTCTTGATGACCAGGACAAGGGGGGGGGAAAGAGTTTG